AAAAGTATCAAAGACGTTAGGACTTTACTCAGACCGACGATGAGGGAAGAGCAAGAGAGCGAACTAGATTTATAAGACAGAAACCGATTTCTTTCAAGCATTCTCTCTGGCCGACATACGAGAAACTTTCTCCACGATTATCCTTCTTTCTGTTTCATCCCTGAGGATTTTATCTAGCTCCAATATGCGGAACGATCCCCTTTAAAAAAAGATGCTTTAAAAGAAGGGTTTGACAACGAGATGGATGTTGCAACAGAATGCTTAAAAGTACACGCTCTACACCGGTAGAAACGATGCAAAGATAGTGAAAAAAAATCAATCGTGTTGCAATTAAAAAATTACTGTGAAATTATACGAAGTTCGATGTATGACATTAAGGCATTTTATGTGAAGCAAGTAATTCGAATTTTGTAAGCGAGAAAAGAGCGAAGGAATTGAATGCTGGAAAAAATCGCGTCAAAGCCAGCGAACGGAGTCATGTGGCGTCAATGTGTAAGTGGAAAACCGGTATTCCCGATGTGATAAGCTCTCGGAGCTTAATACCTTTATCTGATAAAAGCACTTTTTCATTCTCAAACTCCGATGTATACCGGATGACTATACGTCTTTCAGAAGCAATTAAGCCTGAAATTAATCGATTGTTCGAACGACGAAATTGCCAGTAATATTTCGCTTTTTATCTCAGCGTGGAAAGTCATCAAACGGAATTCTCATTCAACCGGAAAAACAAAAAGTTTTAAAAGACCTTGTACATACGTATATATTATCGTAATAAAAGTCGTAATAACTACGTGTGATATACGTTGATAAGATATTTTAATACGTGTAATAATATTTCGCAATAATGAGATAATCCTCTTTTTTCCTCGTAGAAAAATGCATTGTGCGCAATTAAAATATGCATGTTACACATGATGCAGAATTTTTTTTCGTTATTAATCCAGCAAGATCGATTTTGCGTTTGTTGGTTGCGCTGGATTAAATTCAAAGAGAGAAGCAGCATAGATTATTATTCGATCGATTCCGCGCAAGAGAGTGAATTGAAGGTATGCCAGCCAATGCAAAAAAGCGATCTCCATGATAATACATAAGATAGAACACGTCGAGAATTACGATCTACCCTGTGGCTGGCACGCTACCACGCCTGTCGCATTGTCGAGTGGGTCGTATTTTTTTTTTGTTCCTTCCGCTTTGTACGAATATTCTTTTTGCGACGCATTTCTCGCGCGATTCTCAACGAGATGTTGTTATACCGACAATATATCTAACATTAACTATTGTGACAAATATATATACTGATAATTTTATTTGATTAATAAAATCAGCACACGTCTAGGTTTTTTATCTCAAACATAATTTTCGCATTTTAACTTACTTAAATTTTCCTTCACATCTTTGTGATAATCAAAGCGTTGAACTTAAATTTAACGAGTTACGATTGCAGTACGCCACTACCGATCTCATAATAAATCAAATACGCGTATAAAATTTAAGAAACTATTCCACGAAAACAATCACCATCGTCCGAAATAATTTATCGTGGAATTACTTATCTTACGAACCGTATAATACACATATGAGAGGTGTCAAGAATACCGAAAATACATGAAAATTAAACTCGAAAAATAGTAACAGGGAGGAGTGGAAAAACAACACGTGACTAAAGTCTCGTGATTTTCCTTTGATCACATGACTTTACTTTAGTCACGTTTTTAAAGACACGTGACGTGAACATCGTCGAAGGTGTTGCCGGCGCGTAACCACCACGTCGACGCAAAGCACTACCGTATATATTGTGCCTTTTGATGATTTTCTCTTTCCTTTTCTAACTTACATTTCCAATCTTCAACGTGCTCGTACATGTATGCCATCTGTTAACAAGCATACAAACATGCACACAGTGTAGTTGCACGACGACGATAATAATGACGTTTTTGAAAACGTGAATTTCTCACTTCGAAACTTTATCGTCGCTTATCTACAAATCAGAAGCTCAAACAAAAAAACGCAAGACTACTTTTGTTTTGTTCTGAAGCGATTGAGACTAAAACGAAATTGATCGGTTCAGTCGTTATTGAGATAGTGCCTCATGAAACTCTCCTCATTTCTCAATCGCATGAATCTCGCGTATAAGAGGCACTACCGTGCCTTTTGATTGCAATTATCAAGTTCCTGTGATTCAGTTAATTATCGGATAGGTTATGTTATTACCACGTCGCGGTGAAAACCACTGTCGACGAACATCTACTTGTGTTGTTGTTCTTTAACAACACAAAATGTACTGCAATTTTCGCCGAACAAAACTTTCGGATTCAATTTACGATGGAAAAACTTGGAGCGCGTATTTCCGTAATTCTTGTTCGCTAGATAATTCTCGACGTCTTCATTGATGGAAATTGATTATTTCTTGCTTTCTTGTGTATACTCTTATTATCACAAGACAGCGCGAATAAACACTAAAACCGTCGATTGCCTTGATTTCGCAAAAGAAATAGTAAAAATAGCGTCTTTATAGATTTAGATGTTTAATGAAATACACAATGACAGCAAAACTGCTGTTCTAAATACCAAGCTAAGAATATGAAATATTAAATTTTTAAACAATATTAACGTGAAACACTTTAGTGTAGTCACATAGACTATACGAATTCAAAATTGTAAGATAATTTCCATATGGATACATAATATTTATTATAAGAAAAAGTTTTATGTGTGTTTAAGCGAAGTGAAACGTTGTTACGGAACTTTTGATTGCAAATCCCCAGGAGAAGCCCTTGCTGCTCTAACCGTCGTTTGAGAATCGCTGACGTAGATGATACAGAATGTAGCCTGGAGGTGCAATTCCGAATTATCGCGAGGGGTAAATATAGCGCGGAACGAGGGGCGCGTCCAATCTCCCCATTTAATCGTCCACGAAAGAGAAACACCCTCATAGAGTTCTACGTTCCGGTTCAAGTAGAAATTCATTTATATTAGACATTATATACGCCACCTCGAAAGGATCGAGGGGAAAAAGGAAAAGAAATTCTGTCGGGGATATAATGACGCACGGAGAGCCTAATCTTTTTCGGTGCGTGTCGTATAAAAGTCGAACGAGCTTTTTGTCATCCAACCTAGTTACACGCTCCTGATCCCGCGGCTTTTCGGTTTTCTTGGTTAATCCATCCCTAAACGAAAGAGAACGTAATGACCTTCGTTTCTTCCCGTGCTCTCACGACTGCCGTTTCACGACCGACGCCGGAAAATTGTCGTTAGCGTGTCGACGACGCAATCCTTACGACCGAGCGAACAACGAAGAATAAGACGTAGGCTTATCCCACGCGCTATTGTAATGTGAATAAAATAGAATTACGCAAAGTAACATAAATACAAATCACATTTCCTAATTGGTATCTTCAAAAATACCATATGGAAATATTACATATAATTTATTTATGTATTTACTTACTTATTTAATCACATATAGTTTATATATATATATCGCAGAAATAGAGAATCAATATTCGTTATTTCGATATTAAACAAAAAATGGCATTTATAACGTTTTAATTCTTTTTTTTTTTTTCAATCTAAGCTTCTCAATGACCAAAAAAGAGCTTCGACGTCGCGCCTAACTAACATTCAGAAAATAGAACAAGAAAAATGAACATAGAAGAGAATATTTACTGAATATGAGAAAGAACAAGAGAAGAATAGGGAGGAAAGAAATTGCGCAAGAAAATGGCGAATTTATTTCAATGAGTGTTCCCATTTGCGTCGCGCGAGCAAAAGGCTCCCAGTTGCAATATTTCGTGTATCGAGACGCTGTCATTTTTATTTTTGTTCTTTCGTCGCGAGAAAGCAGCAACGAGAGAAAATCGATTCATCGGAAGTGGTTCTCTCTGGTTGCGAAGATCGCGCGCGCAACGTCGTCTTCCCCGTCGACGTCGTTATTTCCGCTGTTATTTCAAGGCTTTCGAGTTCTCTACCTCGCTATTATTCGGGCGTTTAATCGCGTGCGCGCGAACAGAAGCAACGGATTTTTCGCATGTCGATTTTTGCGAGCGCCGCCGTGAACGGAAAGAGAGAGAGAAAGAGTGAGAACTCCCGCGTGATTGATATTGCGAGAGGGATATATGTTATCGCGATCGAGGGACTCCGATTTGCCGCCGCTCACTCCGTAGCGACAGCGACGAACCGAAGATTTCAATTTCGAGACGTTGATAGAACGAATCGCGGCGCGTCAGTTATAAAAGTAATACGAGTATACAGGAGGGAGAAAAGGGAGAAAAAACTAAAATAGCACTCGCGAAAATTAAGATTTTGATTGGAATCTGAGTTATTTGAAATAAAATAATAATAGGTTTGAAAGTAATTTAACAATATCTCTAAAATAATAACGGACTCTTTTTTTCCACTGAAACAACAGCGACAGTAATCTTTGTACGCGTTTTTTGTTCGTTTGTTCGTTTGTTCGTTCGTTTCTTCGTCACGAGAGCCTCCTGTGTGTGCTCAAGTAACATGTTGGTAAAAACGAATCGCGTGATCTGTTATATAGAAGAGTATCGTAAAACCAAAATAAAGTAGTGGTTAAAAAAACATCAGTCCAATCAAAATCTATGTTACGTGAGGATAGAATAATAATCTACACCGTGCGGTTGAATCAACAATACCCTGAAATAACGCTCTTGCGCTTTCGCATGTATGTATATAACACACCATGATGATTTCCGTTCGCTTTGTCGTTATGAAAATATTTGTGTTTAAATGAAGTGACTTTGTGTCATCACACACACACATACACAATCAAATTAGTCGTGCGTAATAAAGCGGAGTGGATTTGTATAATCGGGAAGAGTTTAATTCTGTCCCGAAAGAGAGGCGGTTGAGCAGAAGAGGGAGAGAATACGTAATTAAGCGCGAAGCCGGACACAGCTTGGCTTGTTCGAGCGCGGCATGTTTTTACGTTGCGCGTCCGCCTTCAAGAATGCGGAAAAGATATTCTTGACGTGTATACTCACGTTTTTCTTCAGTCCCTTCAGCTGCTTTGAGGATTTCCACCAGGACAAGACTGCCGGCGGCCTCGAGCCGATGCTCTGACATTTCACGTCATATGTCTTCCCCACCGATAGAATCTGGTCCTTCCCCAAAATCTCCACCTTGAGCGGTTTCACTGCAAGAACACGTCATTATGAACCGTCCGATATCGCGGAACGATATAAGAAATGCGCAGAAGAAATAAAACTGTTAGTCACAAGGACTCGCGTGGCGGAAATTCGTCTTCTTAACGTCGCAGAATTTTGTTGAGTGTCAATTTCGTATTTTCAACAAAATCAGATTTATGAAAAAAATTTCAATATCTAGAAACTAATATGTTCTATTGTATACGAAATGTTTATTAGAAAAAATATACCTGCAACTGTACTACCTGCGTCAGTAATCTAGATTAATAGAAAATAATTTGCCGTTCGTAAGAAGAGAAAAGCATTTCGATGGCAATCACGTACAGGTCATAAGCGCGCGACTTGCTATATTTGTGATCTCTCCACTCCGGCTGCTACTTCCGTTTCTCTCTCTGGTATATCCGGCGTTTTTTCTCAACGCTCGGGTAACGCGCATAACGAAGGACGCGCACCGTCCGGCGGGAGCGATGTGCAGAGCGCAAATAAAAAAAATAAAAAATTAAAAAAAAAGACGGAACGCGAAGAACGCGCGAAAGAAACGTCGGGATAATTAGAATTCAGTCCGTTCTCGCGAATTTCATGCCGTGTGCTGTCCGGCATTCTCCGCGAAAGTTCTCTGCCAACAGGAGAAAAGAAAGTGCCAGATCGATGACGACGACGAAGGAAGTGAAGAGGGAAGAGATAGATCGAGAAAAAATAAAACGTAAGAAAGAACGAGGGAGAGAAAGAAACCAGGGAACGAGAGGATGGTCCGTATAATTGGAGCTCGTCGCAAAAGCGACCGAAAACAAAGGCGACCGAAGGAAGATTGCCGAGCGCGAAACTCCCGACTAAGTTGAGATTTCGTTTGCAAATCAAAATTCATGTCGTCAGGTGCGCGCAGTCGTCGGGGACGCGAAGAATTCGACCGAGCTTTTAGTATCTTTTTATTCGAGCGAACACGAAAATGGCCGTTTTCTTTCTGCAAAAATTCCACAAGTTCACGTTTTATATCGCGTATATAAAGTGTTATATACTTTGTGATGCTGTAATAAAGTTCCCAGGAGAGAAATACACTAAAACTAAATTATATTTTATTCATTAATTCACGCATTCATCGGTAGAGTTCAGCGTTCGTGCAATTCTCACGAGTCTTTGCGAACTTACATTTCCAATCAAACGTCCTTTCACAAATGGAAACGCAAACCGGAGACTTTCGTCGTCTCTTGCCCGCGGCCGTTTTAATGAGCCGCTATTATTATTCGCGCGCATAGAGTGGCTTTAATCGAGTTACGAAGCGGTTCAATAAAGCGCATTCTAGACGCGCGAGACGCATTTATCGCGCGACTTCCGAAAGAGGAGAGTTCGAGAGGAGCTGTGCCGTTTTATCCCGTTATATACCGTAAGAACAACGCTTAAGTGTGGTGCTTAAGGCCCGAGAGTTCGCAAGAGCGGCGAAGATGTTTTCGAGATCTTAATTAGAAATTACAGAACATTTCTCGTAGAAACAAAAAAACAACGTTCGTGCAAAAATTAAACAGAAACAAAGTTACTAAAATTTGAATAAATGAACAATTAAATAAATCAGGAGACAAAAAGCTTTTTCTTGATTTCATTTTAAATATGTAAGGTGAAAAGATTGAAAGACACAGTGATCGGTATCAAAATTATCCTAAACTTAATCCTTGTGCTAAACTTTATACTTAGTCGGAGGGAAAAGTTACCTAAACTTCTTTAAGACAGTTCCATCTTATTCCAGCTTTCTCGGTGACTGACGATCATTAAAGGAAATCGATTTACCTATTTGAAAATGAACTTTGAATTTGATTTCAACCGAGAGACGACATCGAAAAGGATAAGACTACTTTCCAGCAAAAGAGAATAAAGATTTTTTTCATTGAAAATTGGATCCACTTAACGTTCAATTCGCGCTATCAAGGACTTAAAAGAAAATTCCAGATTTTTCACAAACAATTTAAAATATATTGCATACCAAGACAATTCTATAATCCACGCGACAGTTCTGAGACAATTTAAAATAATAACTTTATTCGATGCAAGGTAGCGTAAACTTAAAATTACGACATTGAGAAACACTTGTAAAGGTTTTAATTTCGGGGCCTCAAAACGAGAACCGTGCCAATTGCATAAAGAGGTGAAGAAAAGAAAGCCAACTATAAGTGAGAATCCCAAAGATGTTCGAGGGCACCGCGAAGAGAGTGGTTGATCGTTAAGTGGCTCGTTCGTAGAGGTAAAGTCGGTTGTTTCGGAAACGACTGAACATTAGAGAAGTCGCGTGCTCCTCTATGTACATACATGCGCCGATCCCGAGAGCCGCCGGGCTTAAGTGAAATTTCGAGACCCACTATATGCGCGATTCTAAGTGATATTATTGCCATAATTTGGCAAAGCCTCGTCGTGAGTCTGTATCGTTACGGTCTCATTGGAATGAGGAAACGACGGAGGACCGAAAGAGAGAAAGAGGAAGAGAGGATCCTATTCTCTACCGCGATCTATTCTCGCGTTCCGGTTCACGCGAAAGCCTGTAAACGAGGCGACGATGCACGGTCCTTGCAACACGGAAAATACAGGGAAATATGCGAGGCGTGCAGCGGCGGAATAACACTTGCCAGGAGAATCTCTCTGAGTAAACTAATTAATTCCGGCGAGGCGAAGAATTCAACGCGCACAGCCGAAAACTAATCACCGTTGAAAGTATTAATCCTCTTGCGCATCGCGCGAGTTGAAGGATACGTATGTATACATTAAACATATGTTTCCGTGCGTATTTCCACAATATATCTTGCGTATGTTCCTTTGTATAATTACAACTATTATTTATATATAATATAATTTTTATATATAATTACAATCGCAAGTTAGTTTTTGTATTAAACAAAAATATATTATCAAGAATATGTAAAAAACAGTGGATTTTAATTCTTAAAAGCTTTGCATACATTTTTTTCACAAAGTAAAAATACTTTTCTGTTTCTTTTGTCTGATTTTCTCACATTAAACTGATAAGAATATCGACTTGAAAAGATGCACGCGAAAAAATTGGATCCGTCGTTAAGAGATCAATTCGCGTGTATCATGATTCGGTCAGAAGAGATAGTTATTAGCTTTCCCCGCAGGCTGGAGTTATATCAGGCACAAGGAGTTACATTCCTGAAGTTCACTCGTCTCCGGAGTGGGCTAAACCCTTCTTCCGACGTGCTACCGGCGGGTGAGCACTTTCGAGAGTCGTTACGCCGTTTGCGACTCCACGGATTCGCCCTCATCTCGTCGCTGAAATCTGCCGGTTCACCCCCGTCTTCGTTACGGGACTACTTTATGTCGCAAGTTCGTCGAGCACGGCAGATTGATAGCGACCGTAAAATAAAAGCGAACTCGACTCGATTCGTTTTAGAAACATCCCGTACAATCCGTGTCGAGCTACGTTTACATATCGCAATCTGCTATGTTTTATTTACCGTTTTCGCTATTTTGCGCTGCGTCGTTTTTCTTATATTGTCGCGTCATATTTAAAGTTTCAGAAATGGTGTACATCTGGAGTATCGTTTCTTTGATCATTTCGCATAATTCGCAAAGGAGCTTTACGACTTACAATTATGTCACCGCGGCGCTGATTTACTCTGCGAGAGACGCGATTGGCAGGCAAGATCGACCTTAATGAGGAACTTCTTTTGATGTCTGATACTCGTTAGGTCGTTACTACTGACGGGCACGTAATCGTTTGACTATCAAGGGTGCATCTACTACTTTCGTTAATACTCATAGCTATAAAAGACTAATGAGCCTCGCGAGCAAAGTTTGCGCGCGCTGTAGAGAGAGGGGGCTTCATTAATTTTCTTACTAATTAACGAGAGACGCCCGATCGCGAGGGAGCGACGGAGATTTTTGTCGAATGGAATTCCTGTGTCGACGAAGTGCGCCTTTTCCCCAAGAAAAGAGAAAGCCGAGAGAACACTCTTCGGCTTGTTACCTAACTTGATTATTCTTCTGGAACTCATAGTACACACACACACACACGCGCGCGCGTCTACGTTCCGTTCAGGATCAAACGCTTCTGTAAAATAAGTCATTAAAAGTTGAACAAGTTCGCAATGCGATTGTCACGCCTTTATTCGTCGCGCAACATGTCAATTTACGATATCGTCGTCATTCAAAAAGAATAAAGAAAGAGAATAAATTGCTCGTGCAGCGATTGAAAAATATAGTTACAATAAATGAAACTCATTAATGACGTACGAAAGTTATACATACAGCATCATCTTTTTTCTATTAATGGCGTACAAATGCACAATGATTGTGTAATTTCAATATATTTATCCTTTTCTAATTATGCGCATTTAAATGTTTATGTTTATTTTTAATTTATTAATTATCTCACAGATGTTTATTTATAATCTGCATGTATTGTGCAAAATTTAATATAAAATTTATATTAAATTTACACACACACACACACACACACACACAAAATGCGCGCGTGTTGTCTTACTAATCTCTTCTTCTTGATTGTATTTGCCAAACAAACCTTTGTTTAATTTTGCTGCTGCGCCTTTTATATTCTTTCTATTTCCACAGATTATTCTGAGCGATTCTATAACACACAATTGAGAAAATCAGCAATAGCACCAACGGGAGTTCAGTATGCTGATTTTCTGCGGAGAAATACATTACAAGATAAACGAACTGCGACACAGTAGGAAAGAGCGCACTGTTAAAAATAATAAAAATTCATAACGCGTTGCGCTTCGAGATATTATATGGAAAAATATACAATATTTTTCTTCAGCGTACCCCGCGGTGAGTTTTCTGTTAAGAACTCAATATTCTCCGCTTTTTCGAACTGGTGCCGTCTGTTTTTCGTCGCTGAGCAATACAAAAGTTGTACGCAAATCGAGTTTATCGACTATCTCATAAATATGTCAATGATGTATATGTGTGTATAAACATTCTTTAGATTTATAATTGCTCAAAAAAAAAAAATAATAATAATTATCACTATCATCGTCGTTATCGTTGTACAAAGAAGTTGTTTACGCTCCGTACAAAAAACTCTCGCATCCGCAAATCAACTTTCGACGCGCTCGTTACGAATCCGATTTGTTTCCCGCGCGCCCCGTCTTCCTATCTTCCTATTAGCGCGTACTAGTGCGCTCTGTTCCAATTTCGCCGCTTCCATTACGCGCCAGGCTATCGAATAACTATTAACGACGACGTTCCGCCCGTGAACCATTTGCGCATATATACGTCGCGAGATCTACTTCGAAGTCTCGGCGGTAGCATGAAAAATTAATGGAACACACCGCATGGTTTCGAGTGCTCAACGGCAATCTACTTCTCTTCCCCGACACTCGAGTCCTCGTGTATTTCGTCGACCTCGTTGTTGGCTCGCAGAAATCGCTTTCGCAAGTCTATCGACTTCCAACCCGGTAAGTCCTTCGATGACTTGTTAGACTTTCACGCAATCCCACGCGCGCGCGGAATTGCCGCGATTATGCAGACAGCTCTCGTGCGCGTCCAATTAGCGCGGAATCGAGAGAGGCGAAGAGTCGAGAGATGAATTTCGATATACCGCGATCTCTCTCAAAAACAAGAAAAAAACTGAAATATGAAGCACTCGTAGAAATCGAGTCGAGTCTACATCGATTGACATCATTTTCGAAGTGCAGATATCGATGTTTACGTTCAATTATATCTACTGCCAATGATTTTTTGATGACGTCAGAACTCGATATAACTAACACCGTAATACTTTCCGCTATGAAATTTATCTCTCTCACCTTTCGGTTCGAGATATAGCAATTTTTACTTTGAACTTGTTTGTCTGGTTACGTGAGTTTTTTCTTAGGATGGATATCTCTACTGAAAATATCATGCCGCACATAATTATATGAACGTTATCTTTCCACTTCCTTATCTGATAAGATAATGCAGAAGGAGAATCACCAGTAAATCTGTACCAAAATTTTGATTTCAATTTTAAAACGAGAAAGATTGTTTCACAAAATAATTTCGTGTCTACACACAATACGCAAAAATATATTTCGAAATATTTTGAAATCATTTTCGCGCGCGTACGCAACGCGAGCAGTGAATAATTCGGCCGATGCGATTTCAAATTTTCGAACACGAGCGCGATATCACGCGCGAATGGCTGCAATCTGTTTTGCGTTTCTCGCCGCTGCGTCGCGCGCATGTGTCCAATTCTGTTCGTCAAATCCGACAGGAATTATTTCGCGTTCGCATCGAAACGATCTCCGGATTGTTCTTTGACAAACCGTGAACGATATCAATTAGCCGATGAGAAAATTGAAGAATTTTTCATTTTGTTCGCTGGTCGCTCTGATTTTTCAAAATTATTTGCTCTTGCAATGGCGCGCGCGGCTTTATCGTCCTGGCGAAACCTGATAAGCCAGGTATACGCTATCAGATACTCGTGCACGCGATTGTTGTATTGTCGAATGGAAACGCAACACTGGAATCGTATTTTTTTCCGCTAACTAGGTTAGACTGCTATCAGCTTTCATAAGTCTCTTAATGCCCAATATTAAAAACAATCTTCTGTACGCGTTTCTGTAACGCAATAGAAATGCGTAACAATCTACTCGCCTGAAAATGTCGTAGACATTTCCAAGTTGATAACAAACTTCTTAGTGCGAAGCTCTCTCTCTCTCTCTCTCTCTCTTTCTCTCAACGTTCAAACGTGCACGCAAATGCGTAAAAGCGCAAAGCTTAATAATTTCGCCATATCTACCAAAAGCGTATAAAGAAAGGAGGGAAACAATTTGTACCCGCTTATAATTATAAGGACGTATTACAATTTCGCGAGCAACTGACTCTTTGTTGCAATTTCGCCTTGTACAAACGTTTCGAAATAATTGCGAACAAATATAACGCCGCCTTAGGTAGACTTGACGGAAAGAGAATCGGGATTCGAGTTGCAATTTTCTCGCAGTCACTGCCGTTGTTTCCAAGTTAGTGGCAAGCACAGGTGGCAGCGCCGATCAACAGAAGATTCGCATAATTTCCTTTCTACTACTGTTTTTCATGAAGATTAATCGAATTTGGCCGTGCAGCATGTTATCCGTGCCGCGCGTGATTCGTCGTGTTTTCGAGTAATTTCGGAAGTAGCGTTATCAATGACATCGCAAGAGTTGATTGCTTTTCGACAAGAGAGTACGAAGCTTGTTGTGTCTAAACTCATATCTCCTCTCGCTCCTGCTAATCGGTGAGAAATGTTTCACTCTCCTTTTGAAAATTCTTTCATTTTCAAACGGGTCGCGGAAAAAAAGTTTTGGATCAGACTAATCGGATTGGGCGCGCCGGTTAAACATTCTCTTTTCGTGTGGCGAAAATATATCGACATCGATATATAAATATGTGTGCGTATGTATATGTATACAAACACGCACACGAAACGCGCGAGAAAAAATGACGTAGGAGGAAATCCTCTCTAGTCGAGCAAACAGGAATCGACTGGAAGTTGAATCTTATTCTGTAGCTATTCCGGAAACTTCAGAGACATTCCCGGGTTATAAAGAGAGAGAATGAGTTTCCGCGCTATATACGTAATAGCCTATCGCATTGCGAGTGAGCAAGCGAGCGACGCGCGTTATTATATGGGTGTATAAAGAGCTTCTGACACATGTGTGAAAACCGCACACACAATTTTCCTTTGTATTGTATAAATCGTACTCAAACGAAGTTTCGATATACTATGGGTGTTTTTATAGAGCCGGAGTGAATCAAGAGACCCGTATTAAGTGCCATATATCGATCGTTTTATACATAATAGGATTTTATTCTTTTAATTAATTAAATTATATTTTTTTGCGCTCTCCGCTTTGCTTTTCTCGGAAATAAAGAAATATCCGCAGTCCGATTAGAAATTTCACCGTCCGAGAAAAGAAAAACAAACTCATTTCCGTGAAGAGTGGGTCAACGTGACGCGATGGCGCGTCGTTCGCAATTAGCGTTAATTGGAATGAGCGTACTCACTGTTAAGCTCTATGACGACAGTGGTGCTAGGCGGCGTCGCTAATTGAGTGTTATTCGCGCGACAGGTCAGCTTGGCGTGATGATGCCTCCTCGTGAGTGCCTTCACAGTCACGTTGCTGACGGTCACGACGTTGGTCTCGCCGTCCGGTCCTTGAGTCTCTCGAACCTCGGTGGACGCATGAATGTTCTGCGATTCCAGATACCACGAGACCTGTGGTTTAGGCTTTCCTGCGCAGGTTATAAAACAAGAATACGATATAACGCACGTTGCATTATAAGAAAAGAGACATAAATTTTCTATATAATCAAACATTAAAATAGTGTTTACGTTATAATAAGACTTAAATAAAAAAAAGAAAAAAGAAAATAAATATATACGATCTGACTTTCAACCAGAAGCTTCGGCAAACTGTCAATTAGAAAGTTCGACAAACTCATCATGGCGACGATTGTAACAGTCGGAAGTGAAAAGAATCCGAAAGCTGCGAGACGTATCGGCAGAACGACGGCCTGTCATTACTCTTCCGCGAATGAGCCGATCGATGGCGAGAGTAATTCGATCGGGTCCCAAGGGCTGCGTCGCGGATGTCGCCGTCAATCACGACGGCGGACGACGGTTCTCGTTCGGCCCGAAACATCACCGACACGATGGCGGCACTCCACGTCCCTCTCGGTTCCCGAGAAGTGCGAGAATATCGCCCGCTACCTGTAGCTCACCGTTGCCAAGTGCCACGGCTAATCATGACGAAAGCGAAACGGAAACCGTGTACTTTCGGAAGGAGAGATCCGGAGTTTCGCGGATGCGAACGGAAGCGTCGCACGTTTCTGATGTTACGCTAATTTACCGCTACTTAGCAAGCTACACTTGTCGTCCGAGAAAACAAGGAAGCTGGTAAACTGTCAGACTAGATATGAAGGAGGAGGATTGTCCGGAGGGATACTCTTGTGAACGGTAATTACAAACAAGAAGCGACAATAAACTGGTTCCGACAACGTAACGTCGCGAGACGACTGATTACACATTCGGGGTGTTCTCTCTCGTTTATTCCAAGATGGGTCTCCCGTGAATTTATACATTGTAATCACATGACGACTGTAGGCACTTCTCTTCTGCCAACTTTCAAGGAACAAATTGCACTCGCTTTGTTGTAGTTCGAGAAATGTACGTTAACAAAACCTTATTATTTTATTTAATTACATTTTGTTTTCCGAATATTAATGTTGATGAATTCTAATAGGTACACTGTAATGTCAATTTAAAAAGCAATTTAAAAAGCAATTGCACAAATGTAAATTTTATATAAAACATGTACAGATTGAAAAACAGAGAGATGTTAAAATATATTCAAAAAATATAAAATTAAAACTGAGACTAAAAACTAAACTAAAATTGAGGATATCTTTCTTAAATAAAGTTCTTATTTCTATTTTGCAATATCTTGTGAGACCATATTTGCACGAACAAACAACGGTGTGCGCGCATACATATACTATTGAGCGCTGTTCGATATTAACGGATATCCATCGCCTAATCAACAGTTATTCTAGATGAAGCATCTGTCTATCTACCTCACAGATGACTGCTTCCTCTCTCTGGCTGCCTACACAGATATCTGTCCAATCAAAGAGACGTCTATGGATCTGTGTATACATCTTGCCGAAAGCTGCGATCGTTGACACTGATAGTTAGCTAGAACGGCAGTAATTAGAAGCGGCTATTTGCTCGCTTAGAGCTCCACATTAATAATCCTGACATTTGCATAGCTAGTTTCTGGAGATACAATGCTGAAAGGATGCCGATGTTATATGCATTTAATTAAAGACTTGGAAGCGATTCTTCTTATTTTACACTTCGCAACACAATGCTTTTCGAAATTGCAACGTTTATGAATTTACGATAAAATATAAAGGAGTGCAAAATATTCAGTGAAAAAAAGATTCACGAACGTTCAAATAAAAAACTATTAATTTTTCATGCAAACTTAAGTGAAATTCTCGTATAGAGGAAAAAAGTAAAAATTACTAAATTTGTAAAAGAAAGTATAGCTAAAAACAGATAACAATATAGCTCTGAAGTAAAGCGCTTGTAAATAAAGTTGTTGTTTATATCGCATAAAGGATTTGTATTTGTACGTGACTCGGAATGTTGATGCAGTTTATTTTGCATCCAGCTGCTACGTTAGAACAAATGTTTGTTCTCACATCGTTCTTAATGCCGCGTGCGACGTGGATTTCCGCGTGTTTCGCACGAGACAAGCTACTGAGACATAAAATAATTTATCAACTGCAGATTATGAGCGAACACAACGACAAACGCCGGAAATATACCAAAAGAAACAAACGGATAATCCGACACGTGCGTTACGGCCGAGACACGTATTATCTACAATCGTGTTAATTTCCCGAGCGGAGAATACAGGCTGAAATCGCATTAATTTCTCGGAATGCACGTTCATTAAACAATAAGCAGGAAATAAACAGACATCCTGTCGCGAAATCTAGGCTACTCCTCGCACGCGTTCAGGAAGCGCGTCCGTTGTGCTTTGAAAGTAATAAATACAATCTCACTTGTAATACACTAAAAATTGGCAAAAGCAAATATATGCACTAACTAAAATATCGACGGTTTTGTAAAATGAGAAAACTATATATTGTACACAATAAAAACAATTTTCATAGTATATTGTAAAGAAGGAGCGAATCATGGAGACGGTGATATATTCAGGGATAATGTCGCGCTTGCGACTTCCTGGCTGCAACAATGAAAATATGCCGTACACACATATTCAGTCGCGAGATAACTAAGCCAGGTCTCAAAAAGGAATGCCGATAATAAGCGTGTTCATTAAGTTCTATACTATAATTAATTCCGCCATCGAGACTACCGTTTCCATTGTTCCCCGCGGGATAATTCTCTGTTGCGTCTGTGTGTCTCGTAGGATACAAATACATATATACATATACCTATATATATATCCCGTTGCCGGTATCTCGGAGGGCTTTTCCCCATCCGCTTTCGCATTTCCCAGCTACTTCGCTTTAGCGCGCGCTCTTCAGTTGTATAAAACACGCAACATATAACGTGAGCATAAATTAGTTCTTCCAAAAACAAACGTCAAAGTGTGAAATAACTTTATATCTTTTAAATCATAAAATCAACATTTTTTGGTACGCAAATCAAGCTTCCGATAATTATGATTAGTACAAAAGTGTAATCATTTTCCATATTCATTATCTTTATCTTGATTAATTGTTAAACTAATTCAGATAACTCACAGCTATATTGTTGCGACTACACGTGAGCGCGCTTTTGAGATTTTCATTCTTTATATCCAACTGTTCTATGTATTGCATTTATGCGAGCTGAATAATAAAACGCGATGCGAGTTATGGTTATTGTGACTTTTGTATATCGGATCACGCGCTCGGAAAATCTCTCTCGTATATATTAGAAGACGCTGTGTGAACGAAACTCATTACGTTTTAAAAACCGTTATTGTTAGGTTTTAAACGTCAGCATTATCGTCACTATCGTTTCTGCTTGCTTTTGTTAAAAATTATAACACGAAGCAAGAACATAATTGTCACGAATATGTTCACGCTGCGAATATTCGTTCATCATTGTCTCGTCGTTCAAACACCGAAAATTTTCCGGTCGAGGGACGGCCTCGTCGTACAATACAAAATAAAACAATCCATATAAAAACATAAAATATCGCTTACATATCACAAAGTACTCCGTTACCGCGTTTGTAAAATCTCAAACAGAATTGTGATGAGAAAATAATTCCATAATAAACTACTATAAATTTAATAAAGCGGACGGTCGAGCAAAGTTGAAACGATATATATTAAGGTCATGCCTGCACGAGCATCGATTGAACTTTAATCGACAACCATCGCATCGGCGCGCGCGCGCGCGCTCTCCGATCAACCTCAATTTGTACAAAAAGTAATAAATGCTTAAATTCATCCGACTTTTTTATGTCGGATAAGTTTTTATTATCAACTGTGTGCACTCTGTGCAATGGATTTATCTTTTGATCGAAGCAAAAAGGCGAGAAATAATCGGGATGCACGGGAGCACAACCACCACCTCGCGCCACTACGCAACACATCCTCGGCGATATACGATGCGGGAATAAAAATGTCCTAGACGAGACAAGAATGAGAAAACGCGGTTATGGCGCTGCCAATCGCGTTAAAACAAACATTTCGTCCCATGACCAACTCGCCGTGACGCTGTAAAATTGCGTTCGATGCAACGCGATTGACTAACGCGGACAATGCAACAGCAGACGGCGACGGGGAAAACACACCGTGATGAAAATACACGGTGTATTGTGTGGCAACAATACGCGGCAGAATGAGCGGACGGCGCGACGCGGCGCATCGCGTCGCCTCGCTGTTCGAGAAGAACACACTCCGAAACGCAGCCAGTTTTAAACACGCGCGCGAGGTCGCGCAACCGGCGCGAGTGCGCTCGAAATACGAGAGTGCGGAGCCGGGTCAATTATTTTCAACGGTCGCGTTGAATCGACGCGGAGAGCAACAAGAGCGCTGTGATTGGAAAAGAAATCCGAAGCAAAAACGCGACAGCGGCAAAGGACGGTCATTGCAGAAACTTCACATGACAATGTACATACATTCGGCAGAATAGTTTTGGAGAAAGTGGAAGAATGCATTTTATGAAAAATATGGTTTTATTTATTCAAGGCGATTGTTCTTGCAAGTTGAGCTTATATGAAATAATGAGGCGGTGCGGCGGCGCAGTTCGCAAATTCAATTTGTAAATAGAATGTCTCCGGAGATTTCGAGATTGCTGTTTGAAAGTTTTTAAATTCCACTGGTGTGGTTTGTACAATTTATATTTGATACACAAATATCTTTCTCTATGTGAATTTAATGAGAATCTGAGAACAACTAACAGTTAAATGATTAGCAATGTTAATTTATTACCGTTGTTTGTTTGCCAACAAAATATAGAAGATTTGCAGAGAAGGCAAAGAGAATATATTTGATAATAAAGTTGACTTAACTCTTAGCTGATATTGTTTGCGTAATATATCCGATTCATAAACACATTCGGATTCGGTACAACTAAACGCTTGATAACAAAGTCGGTATAACAAAATGCCGAGTTACAGGATGTAACTTTATGTCGGTCGGGATGTACAAAGTTTCGTTTTTAGGATGCGTTTGCAGAATGCAAATCTGCCGAGCATCAT